ATTTCATTTAAAGGTGCCCCCCCCCCCCCCCAACAATAAAACCCAAAAAAATTGAACTTCACTATGGCTTACAAACAAGTCTTTCACATAGCAACCACCCACAACACCTTAGCATCACATCAACGAGTTTTGTACGCAGAAACAGCAGTCACATTGTCTTCAGAAAATGCACAGTTCACAGAGTCAAATATTAAACTGCAGATGATTTTTATTACTGCTTAAATCTATTTGAACCTCTGCCATCGCCAACGGGAGTGACAAAAGCTCTGTTGTAATAGGACTGGCGAACCCGTCTGAGCTGTGCGCTTGTGCTAAATGCTTTCCCACGGTCCTGCTGTCAGCGCTGTGGACACACACTGCTGCTTGGCAGAGAGACAGGGCAGCCAGAGGCCCGTCTCGTGTAACCCTGACCAGGTGCAAAGAGCCGTCCGCACCCCTAGAACGCTGTGCCTGTGACTCAGTCGCGTGGCTGTGATCTACAGTCACAGAGCAGGAAGGTTCAGTCGGGTTTCTTCTGCAGTAATGCGGCTGCTATTCAAATTTTCAGACATTGAAGCATTTTAGAAAGGTTAAGGTGGCATTAATTGCCGTGGCCACATTTATAGACTGCATAATATTATGCATGCTCAGCTTCTAAATCTCTGTGGATATGAAGAATATCACACATTGCACATTTTTGAGTTGGGTATGTTTGGAAAAAAGGTCGGGATGGACTGGGAAGCAGCTCCTTGTATCACTCCGGTTGATATGATGATACATTTTCTCACACATTTACCCACAGAAATCTGTTTTCCTCAAGTCAGACTTATGGACTAAGAACAATGTTTAACAATTAAAATTCATGTATAAAGCTTTCTAGCTTGTGCATTTATAATACACCTTATAATCAGTCAAATGTAAACATTATCGATGCACAAAATATCGGCACCAAATCGGTTATCGCTGATTTTACAGATCTTTCAATCAAGCAGTATTGTATATTTAATTGTTTATTTACATTTATATTACTTCTGCCATCATCTTATGATCACTTAAAGTAAATATTTAAAAACACTAAAAATTTTAAAACGCTGTTGACTATAATCTCAAAAATATTTAGTTTTTCATACAGTACGTTAATTTTATGATGCCTAAATTCACTTGTAGCGCTTCTATATATTTTTTTTCATTTTAATTTATTTTACTTTGCTATTTTTTATTTATTTAAAATATTTTAATACTGACTACTTATTAATTATCAACCATAACATGAAAATAATCATCATATCAGACCAAATTTTTCATAGCAACATTACAAAAATTGCATAATTTTATTTTTAAGCATATTTTGCATTTTTCTAAATATTTTATTTGCATAAAAATATTAATATCTATATCTATCTATATATATATATACAAAATATGTTTATATATAATGTTTTATATATATATATATATATATATATATAAATATAAAACATTATATATAAACATATTTTGTCCATTTTAAATGTTGCATTTTCTTTGCAAAAACACTACAAATAATTGAGCTTTTTAAATTTATAATAACTGGAAATTATACTAAAATTTAACATATAATAATTTATATTAAATAAATATCTACATATACATATAACATATAATAGTTATATATAAATATTTTTTCTATTTTAATGTTATATTTTCTTTGCAAAAAAAAACCTACTACAAATAATTTACTAGGTTTTTAAATTTACAATAGAAACGGGAAATTATACAACTGAAATGTACCTTGAATGAAAGTTGTAAATTCATTCACACACTTTTGTTAGAATACAATCACATATGATCCAAAACATTACTGAACTTTTTGATGCTTCCACGACTATCATTCTCGCAATTTTGACAAAACCTCATCTATGTTAGTCTGCAAAACACAGAACTGATCCGATTCTGCAAACACTCGCACCTGCAGTCTTCATAGAAAGAACAACTGAAAATTCTACTGATCTGATGCAATACCATAAAAGTTCCCACAAAACACTTATTTTGTGTATTCTGTATTTTTGAAAGCATCATTACTTACTATATTTAACATGTACTAATGTATTCACTGCAAACGGCCTTTATCAGCGTTACCAGAGACAGTAAATGGCTGATGTCAGAGCATTAAACCAGCAGCAGAATCCCCTGTAGACAGTCAGAGCTCACTGATATCTGTCTGTTTGTCAGGGTGATGGATGGGCGTGCTCACTAACTAACCTCTCTTCATATTGCTTTTTGACGCTAGCTGTAATGTTGTATTGAGTCAGCCTCGAGAGAAGACAATACCAGCTGAAGGCAGAGCGCGAACAGACATACTCTTGATACACAGAAATACCAACACAACACTTAAAATGCTAATGGGAGGGATGTTTGTATGGGTACATCTGAGATCAGTCCTGCAGTTATGCTTGTAGTGAGTGAGGCTAGGATTGGACAACTACTGAACACAACGGGTTAAGGATTAGCTGGACAACACGGCACGCTTGCTGCAATTATTCCTGTTTCTCCAATGACGGCCACTCAAACAATCATATGAT